GAGCTAAGAAATAGAATATTTGATTATCACTTGAAACAAACACAAGAATTGTTTGTGTGCTTTTATTACAAATGTTAGTGAAAAGGCAATGACAATTGTATGACAACTGCTAACCTTGTTGGCTGAACATCTAAGGGTTTCTTTTCCTCTTTGTCTTTAGATTCCACGTCAACTTCAATGTCACTTTCATTGCTTTCATTACTAAAACAAATCCCCACTCATTGATAACGGCATTACATTTTCCAGTCAATCATAACAATCAAGACACTTTGAATAGTTTATTCAGCACCTTTCCACTCATTACTGCTTTTAAAAAGTCAGCACACATCTTACAACTAACAGTTTAACTACTACTTACAACTAGACGATCAGCGATCGTTTACATGGGCTTCCTGTGGTATCACAATCAGCAAACGAAGAACTCATTGACAATAGTTTTGTGGTAATCGAAGAATTGTATTATATTGAGCCCTAATAACGTTAATATTACTAAGACTAAAGCAAAAATATTTCTTTTAATGAAAAATAATAAAACAAGCAATGTACTTTATAGTATTAAGCATAATATTGTGAAAGAAGTAAGCATGTTTGACGAGCCAATCCGCGTAAACACAGGTCGATAGTCTTTCATGTTCTTCGCTTRAAATACTTCCAATCATTTCATTTTTCTCAGTATTATGTACTTATTGACTGAGTGAGAGGGCCGTACGGGAAAATATTTGGCTCGAGGTTATGCCGTACGGACCGAGCGCAGCGAGGTCCGTACAAATGACCGAGAGCCAAATATTTTCCCGTACGGCCCGACCTAACTCAGTCAATAAGCATTTTATCATATGACAGCGTTTTTTAACGTAAAAAAATAAATAAAAGCGCGCGGAACTTCAAGCCGGGAAAATACGGGTTTGTACGGACCTATCGCGAAAAGGCGTACGGACCCCATCACGTGACCATTTTCCAAAGGTTTCAGTGAGAGCGCGCGTAGGGCCGAAATACGGGTCATATGATAAAACACTGTTTGCATTCCTTAGATAGTCTTTTTTTATTGCAGATCCTGTATAAGTTAGTATATAAATCGTTTATTCACGATAGGAAGATTCACGATAAATTCACGGTATCCCTACAAATGTCCTTTCGAAAAACGCCCGACATCATTTAGTGTTTCTATACCGCGAATGACACGTGGATTTATAAAGAGATTTGAGCGTTTTGTAGTAGCTAGATCTGTGATTTCTATCTCTAAACTGTCCTTAAACTTGGTAGGTCCAAAATGAAGCACGAGGCAAGCTTAGAATCGTTGCTTAGGAACATGAATGACAATAAAAAGAAAAGGTCCCGGATATACCACTTTGAAGCATGTTGAAGGAAAGTCGTCTGTAATTTTAGACATGGGCTTCCACAGGAAGCCCATGTAAAAATCGATTTTGATGTGCATGTATTTGAAACATGGACAAAATCTTCTGTTAAAATGTTATTGCATTTCTTTGTATTTTGTATATGTTCTTATGTGCCAGCAAATAACATTTAACCCACACATTTAAGCCAAGTCAGTAACCCCACCTCAATAATTTAGCAACCTTTTGATGTCCATTAGGCTGCCATATTAATGATTTCCTGCTGTTACTCTTTTAATGTTGCTTTTACTTTATTTACAACTGAAGGGGCGGATGCGAAAACGACTTAAGTGACGATTTAGGGTATTTTTGAAATTTTCGAAAAATTGACAAAAAATCGCTTCAATCATTTGTTTCTGGTCTAAATAATCATGTTTGCTAGTTATGTCTCGTGATTTCCTTTTAAAAAGCGGAAAAAAGTCGACATTTAGTTACAGACTGTACCCTCCCCTCCCCCAAACTTTAGCGGCATAGGGTTAGTTCCAGCCTTATGCAAGAGTTAGGGTTCCTATAGCCTAAGACAGGGGCTAGGGTTGCTTGATTTAGGGTTAGGGTTAGAATAGTTAGGGTTTAGGGTAGGGTAGGGTTAACGTTAGCTAAGCGTTAGGCTCTAAAACCTGAGTTTGTAAAGCAAACAAACTCCCCCCCCCTCCCCCCCGAGTCCACATGACGACTTCATGACCGACAAAGTGTGTAATTTATTCTAAACCCGAGTTCACTCGGGTTTAGAATAAATTATAAGTTTCTAAGTAANTAATCAGCTCAGAACTTCAAAGGTTATCATGTGTCTCAAAAACACGGACCAGAAGTTGGAATTCATCATGTGCTGATTATTACATACAAGCTGTCATCTAAGGAAAGTTTACTAAGACCAAGACCAACCTTCCTCAACTGCATRAGAATGTTGATGACACTGAGAAAATGTCCAGATTCAAGAGTCTCTTTAGTCCTAAGAAAAATATAAACCATTTGTATTAGTACTTTTTAATCAATTTGGTATACATAATTATACATGAGAGCTACTCACTTAGTCCTAGACATGAAGTCATCRTACAAAAAGCGCTGTCTTTTTGAGAGTCGACACCTGTATACATGTTCATACTTTTGAGGCATCTGTTTCTCTACTTCACTCTTGAGTCGTCTTAGYAAAAAAGGTCTTAGAACCTTGAAATAATACCATAGATATGTTAGCAGTGTTTCCTCAGGAGATAAAGAATAGATGCTATTGAGATATGGAAGATTTAGCTCTYGACAGGATCCACTTAATGCATAATGTCAATAATTATGTGGGTTTTTAAAGAGCTTATGTTCTCTAGGCCACTTGAAATTATCAATGCAGAATAATCTACATTGATATTGGATAGTGGCCAAGGTAAAACTAKCAATGACCTAAATCTATAGAAAATTTGTTGCATGTATAACCATCACACCTAGAATTCTAGATTATTTTCACATAAAGTCTTTACATAACATACAGAGTTTGTGAGCTTAAGGCAACAAAATGAATAAAAAGGATGAGCCACTGATTGTCACCTGTCATGTCTAATTCACCCTGCTGACAACTAACATACCTTGTGAAGTCTTTTGACCARGTTTTCATTGTATTCCCTGCTGCCTTCTATCATTCCTGTAAGAGGATTTGAGAACCATTCCTTGAAATCTTTATGCGACTGGAATAGGTGAGGCATYAAAAAATGCATCAGTGACCACAACTCCATCAGACTATTCTGCAATGGAGTTCCTGTAAGAAGCAAYCTTCTTTGACTATTGAAGTTTAACAAATATTGCCATCGCTGGGATTTGAAGTTCTTGATGTTTTGAGCCTGAAACACAAAGRAACAATGAATAAAAAGGGTAATTAGCATTTGAGATTGATTTACTTTTCCATTATGGAAGGGCATACTAACCTCATCTAAAATAAAGTACTTCCATTTCTTTCTTCTGAATGCTTGATGATCTTGTATTACCAGTTTGTAGGATGTGATGCAGACATGGAAAGCATTGGGTTTAGTCCATCCCTGTCAAAACACAAAAATACATCAATAATAT